TTCAACAAATTGACACCCATTTATCAACAAGAACGAGAGCAAGAACAAGGGCGAGTGACCCCACTCCAACCGCGGCTTGACTCGGAACCCAACAGTCCTGAGTTCAACGCCCAATCGACAAAACCACAGTCTGAAGCAACGAGTGGAAAATTCCTTGCTCAAGGCAATTCATAAAGAACAAAGGTTGCTCTCGAGCGGAATTGAACCCTGCACCTCTGATACAGTTCGAAGCAGACCTCTTAAATACGGTACCACACGCCATGGATGTAACGTACCGGAAGTCTGCTAAAAATGAACATAATCTATGTCGGATGCATTCAGGAAATGATGAAAAGTTTATCAGAATTGTCTAATCGAAACTGAAAGTTTTGCTGAATATCAGTTCCTTGCGATGTATTGCAAGAAACGTCGAAAGACGTGTTGTATAATAAACGAAATTCTCCAGAAATATAATAAAGCTAAACGCCTACCTGTGAAGTGGCAAAGGATCTTCCAAGAAGAAATCATTCCACAAGATCCACACAACCTGATCTGATCTTCCCCTGAACTGAAATGTACAACGCGTGTTAGGCGGGTATGATTCGGGGAAACCAGGAGTGGCGAATGTACCGTTTGTCGTCTTGTCACCACTGAAAAGTATCAGGCATTCGCTTTTAACTAAAAGAAAATATAGCTTTATAAATTATCCATCATCAAACGAACAAAAACATATTCAAGGCAACAAAAAGCAAAGCAGAAACAAATGGTCCCATGTTTAATATACGCGTTTCACTTTCATTAAATATACGAAATCATTTTGCAGCGCAAAATCATTGCATCAGTGTATCAATTTTCTTCCGTAAAGAAAGCAACGGAAATGCAAAACTACTGTATCAAAAGTTATATTTTATTAATCAGAAACATATGGTTCCGGATGTGGATATCCGAAAAAACATTAGCAGAAAGCCACTGCCACTCCATATTGACAAGTCACAGCTGCGATGGTTTGGGTACGTGGGCGAAACATCTACTTATTCCCCAATCAGTCGGCAGAACACATTGGGGACGACGAAGATTCACCTGGAAAAAATGTATTAAAGGACTCTGCTGAAGACTTTGGTTATCATCTGCCGAAGCTCAAGCGCTGACACTGGATAGAGAACGTTGGAAGAACAGTTTGACACATCTGCCTCCGCGACCCGAAAGGACAGTCGGTCATCGAAATTGATTCATCGATTGATAATCAGAAAAGATTCGTGTAGCTGGAACATTGAAAACGAAATGAGGCACAACAGAACTGTTCTGATGCTGTGATACGAAGCCAAGATGTTAACAACGAAAGCTGATTCAATTTTGATGTTGCAGCGAAAGCCAATGAGGAGTACTGAGCAGGCACCTGAATTTCACTGATAGGAGATAAAGCATGAAGAATTATGCTCAAATGTCGGGTTAGACTGGAAATTTCAACCATAAATCGAACATAAATTTATACTTCTTAGAATATGTAATATCGGCTCCAAAAATCAAAAATCTGAATCCTAATTTAATGATTAAAGCCGATAGTATTGAACTCACAGCGAGATTCAACGAAGCATACAGAGATTTTGAACAAGAATCAAGGTTAGCAAAACGCAATCGTGCCAACCAGGCCTTGCATGATCTCTGCCTGCTGAAACATCAGACAAAGTATAAGCCAATGTTTCTGTTATTTCAGCATAGCTAACTGGCCAGCAATATTCACCCCGACAATGTCACTTTGAAAATTAATTTTCATCGTTGAAAAAACCGAAATTTACAACCGCTGATTGGAGATACAATTCTGATTCACTAGAAACAGCTATCACTTCCGCCCTTCTATCAATCTGACAAAATATATAACATCAGTTACAAGCAAACAGACTTAAAAATATGATAATGCGTTACTTTAAACCACACTGATACATGCCACTCAAAACGACGAAATATTACGAAAATACTGAGCTAAGATTTACTTCTCCCGCCTCACTAAAACCGAACCGGGCACTCATTAAAACCGAACAATGCCAGCTACGTGTCACCGAGAAGCCACGGAAAGAAATGTTGGGAAATTCACGTCGCAACCATATTCCCAATATTGTGATCAGACAACAGACGGGAAAGAAGGTTCAGTTGGACGGCAACATAGCTCGGCTCACCGACAAAGATGGTCAGCGATGATTGTTGATTGGCACTCTTGAACTAGGCCTCTTCGTCACCCATCGCCATAGGGAAAGACTATAGTGGGAAATGGGAAGGCCGCTCCTAGAGGGAAAAGGTTCGGCCGGCGCCATTTACAGTCGATTACAGGTAAAAATGATCCAGGTAACGCCCCATTTCGGTGAGTCTCAGACTCATGAGGTATTCATCTGGTCTTCCTTCCTTCTATACTGCTACCAGTTTTGCCGAAGTAAATTGAAACAAATGAGCAGAATAAATTGTACATCCGGCTATGAGCGTCTGTTCTTGATTTCTTCCAGCTAGCGCAGACGCGTATAATGTTGCGTTTGGTTTGAACACCTAAATTCCAAACTAGCTTTTGAGAGAATATGTCGAAACTTGTTGCTCTGGTACCCACAATCGAAGAATGTAACACTCGTTATTTCAAAGCGACAACATAACTGCACACAATACAGATACAGAC